TCCATCCTGCTGGGACTGCGAGTATGTCCCCGAAGCATGCATCATGGGGTGTCGTCGACCCCGACTTGAGCGTCAAGGGACTGCGTGGCCTAAGAATTGTTGATCTTTCAGTTGTGGTAAGCCATCGGCACTGGTTGACGTCCGTGTGCTTATGATGTGTAGCCTTTCATTCCTGCTGCTCATACACAAGCTGCAGCGTATATCATCGGGGAACGAGCTTCGGATTTGATTAAGGAAGCATGTTAGCTCGCTGTATGTTCGAAATTCATGAATGGAGCACAAAATACTACAATCCACCTTGTCAATACATGTCAATGAGTGGGAATGATGGAACAGACTCGGGGGGAACAAATGTCAGATGTTATAGGCAAGGATAGTCGTACGCATGCTACATATCGCTCATAATGCATAGCCCGACAGGTGTTCCCGACGCTATGCATTATGAAAAAGTCAACTGTATCATCAATCGGAAACTCGAACGCGACTCAATATTCAACCTGATGACGTCCCTTCTCCGATGGAATTTCTAGAACCTTATCTTCTCTTCGGGCAAAGTCCTATAAAAGCCCCTCGAGCGGAGCCTCGGAGGTGAAACGGCCATGCTCTTTTTTGCCCCTTGCCTGCTCCTACCTCTCTCATTCGCCCTCGCCGACTCTATACCACGCATATCGTCGTCCACCCTCGTCTCATGCTTGAAAAGCAATGGTCTCAATGTGGAGGTCTCACAAAATTCGACCTGGCACACTTCTACCAGCGCGTATGACTCGTGAATGCCACTACTTTCTTGCTGTCCTGCTGATTGACGCTTGTAGGTTCAATGCTCGCTTTCACTACGATCCTAGCGTCATTGTGTACCCGATCAATACAACCCATGTTTCCACGTCCATTCAGTGTGCGGCCAGGTTTGGAGTGCATGTATCCGCCCTGTCTGGCGGACACTCGTATTCCGCCTCAGGTTACGGTTCGAAAAATGGCGCGCTCGTTATTATGTTCCGCGACATGGCACAAATCAACTACCGCTCCAGCGACGGGACGGCCACCATCCAGCCAGGAGCTCGCTTGGGGGACGTGGCGTTGGAGCTGAGTGAAAAGTACGGGCGCGCTATGGCCCACGGCGTTTGTCCTTACGTTGGGTATTTGGTCAACTTTTTCACCGCACCATTATTCAACGCGACCTTCAGAATCGGGGGACACGCTGGGTTCGGTGGTTGGGGTCTCTCTTCTCGAAGCTGGGGCCTATTGATCGATCAAGTTGTCGCGGCGGATCTGGTTTTGGCCAATGGAACCGCAGTGCAGGTCAGCAACACGCAGAATGCGGAGCTGTTTTGGGTGAGTGGTCGCTGCCGCGCCCAGTTTGCTTCTTCATATGTTTTATCCAGGCCATCCGAGGAGCTGCTTCGTCCTTCGGAGTCGTCACCCAATATACATTCAAAACGCAACAGGCTCCCAATACAGTTATTCGATTCTCATATAGCTTCAACAACCCCGATCTATCTGCCGTTCAATTCGCTAAGCTCGTTGGTTCGTACCAAATTTGGGGTCGTGGCGCACCAAAAGAGCTCGGAATCGAGGCGAACGTGTGGGAGGGCGGTAAAGTGGTGGAGCTGGGAGGCTATTACATGGGAAGCTTATCCGACTTCGGCTCTATAGCTGCTTCCTTGCTTCTCGCGACCGGCCCTCCTAGCAGCACGTACGTCCAAGAACGCAGCTGGGTAGCTGCGTTGATGGAAGTCGAAGGAGGCTCACCTTTGTCAACAAAGGGCACACCGGATACCGTACGCTTTTCCTCACGATGCTGGGCAGGTATGGGCGGCTGACTCAAGTAACTCCTGGACCAGCATGACACTTTCTTCGCGAAGTCGTTGGTTGTACCCACAGCATCACCGCTTACCGATGCAGCGCTCTCTGCGCTCGGAACTTACTTCGCGGAAACCCAGGTCCCCAACACCCTTTCTTGGTTTATTCAGTTTGAACTCTGGGGCGGCGGCAATAGTGTCATCTCTTCGTTACCCTCCGACGAGACCGCTTATCCACATCGAGCACATTTGTGGACAATCCAGTTCTACGCTCGGTCCACAACCGTCTGGCCCGAGCAAGGAACGGCGTTCGTGAACGGGATGGTCAGTGCGATTACGAACAGCATGGACGGAACAACATTTGGCGCGTACGCGAACTACCTGGATCCAGTTTTGGAAGGGTGGCAGCACAAATACTACGCTGGAAATTATGCGCGTCTGGCGGCACTTCAAACGAAGTTTGACCCACACGGCGTTTTCATGAAGGCACAGAATATTGGTGCACCTGACTTCTGATTACACTTGATATATTGTTTGTGATGTCTTTTCAATTTGCTGTATTGTCTTCGATATAGCCGGATCACATAAGCTCGTGTATAATCAGTTGGATGCTTAGACATAACCGAGAGTTCTCCAACCTGCAAGGACACAGCGCTCAGTGTGTAGCTCACCCGCAGAAGCGAAGCAAAAGTTGAAGCGGAAGTTTCCGCCCACATTCCCACGGTTCAGTTTCTACGTCTCGCGATGGAGAATGGGCAAGAACATGTATACTGCAAGTGAGCTCAATGCTTGCTCCCCTGCTTCTTATCTTTCCTTTGTGTCCAAATATCGCTCCCTTGGCCAAAGATGTCATTTTCTCTGTCCCGACCGTATTTCGAACGGCGGATCATTGCGCCGCACGGACTCCCGTGTTTACTAAGAATTTTCTGCTTGCGAGTCCGGTCTCGCTGTTAATTACCGAAATTCATTTCACAGGCGATTGTGTGCCTTTGGCGAAGTTTCCCACCGTCAGAGCTGCTAGTATGTGAGATACTGCAGGTACGTCGGAGCTTTTTTGCGCCACAACATAAGTGATTCAGTCAATATATTGTCCGTACAGTTACTCAGCACTCAAGCAACCGTGGTTCAGAGTAGCTGCAAGCCTACTCCGGTGTAATGAACTTGGATGGCTGTCGGTCGAGCCTTGGTCTGTCTCGCCTTCTGTCACAGTTCAAACTCCGAGTCCGAGTCTTGCGCTCGCTCGACCCACGCCAACATATATATATATCGGCTGCACACTTTCCGACCTGTGTAACTCGCACTAGCTGTCCTTCGTCTGTGTTCTCTTCACTGATTGAGCGATGTCCGAAGACAGTTGAACCAGACGGCGGCAGTTGTTCCCACGGTTCAAAAGTCGCAATTGGATCTGTTTCGGTGGGCAGAATTATTCGTATGCCCAGGAGGTATGCAGGGAGAGTATTGGATAGCCGAAAGGAGCTCGTAGACCAGATAATCCTTGAGGAAATGCCCGATTCAGTCAGGTCGAGCGTGGTACAAAGATAATGTTTTGGTGGTCATGTGTTTGTTGAGATGCTCCGTTAGTGTTGATGTGGACCAGAGCAAGTCATGAGAGCATCGAGGATTTGTGCAGTGGAAGATGAAATTATTATGAGCGGGCACGAACGCATCCAGGAACAAAACATCGAGATATACGTACAGAGACACGTTAGTGTTGATGTGGACCAGAGCAAGTCATGAGAGCATCGAGCATTTGTGCAGTGGAAGATAAAATTATCTTGAGCGGACGCGAACGCGTCCAGGAACAAAACAATGAGATATACGTACAGAGACACGCCAGGCGTGTCTCTAGAGAATGGAGCCCACATTTCGCAAATACATTCACCCTGGGCCACGAGACCGACGGGATCTATCGTTAATCTACAGAGGCTGGGAAGCTTTAGCTTTAGCTTGACGTACATAGTTTCATCGTCACCGTACTGTTTCGGGTAGAAAGCTCTTTCCCTCGGTGCCATTGCTAACGGGCTAGTCGGGCGACACATCAAAACATTTGTGAGCAGTTTAATCCGTCATGAGTAAATGACCGGATAATGAAATGTGTCATCTGGAGCAAAAGATGAGGCGGTGGTCTTACACCTTCGGTGGGAATTGAACCCACAACTCCTCTTGAACCTATTCGAAATTCCACTGTGAAGCTTCAGACGCGATCTACATTGATCGACAGAGGCATACTGGGGCTTGCATCCGGGGCATTATGAGCACCGCTAGTCCTTTAATTGCTAAGATAAGAGAGCTCTTTATCCTGGTTTGCCGTTCGCGGCGCTGTGAACACGTTAAGACCACCGGGCGTCGACTAGGAAGAAACAAATGAATGAATGGGCGCCCAAGAGAAGTCTGGAGGAAGAAGAAAGCGGAACCCGGTATGTCTCCGGTGGGGGTCGAACCCCACATTTCCTCTTGTACGTTGAGGATTATCGCACATTGAAATATCAGAGGCGACCTATATCAATCGGCGGAGACATACTGTGCAGTGTGGTGTGCACACGTATCCTAGGAGATAAGAACTAGATAGACAGTCCGCTAAAAGAGCGAACCAAACGAGCAAGAGATCCAAGAGTGATTGTGACTTGCTCCATGCCCCTTTCAAGATCGGTTGGCGGCACTTTATACATATAGAAGTATGGACACGAGTGGGAGAGCTGGAAAAAAAAATCTGTGCCATCCACATACGCCTCCGGTGGGAGTCGAACCCACGGTTTCTCTCTACAATTGAACGCGGGGCCGGTGAGTGATATCTTCGGCGTCTACAAAGGCTTGGTGGCTCTTCTGCACGGGGTGCTATGGGGATAAGGATTGGACGATGAGATTCGTTCCTCGGCTTGAAAGGGCCGGGGATGTACGCAATTTGGGTTGACAGCCGGAACGAAGAGGAGGCTGGTGGTCAGTGGGAATCCTAGAGACCGCCAGAGAAACCATCAGAAGAGGACTAGGAGTCGGGACTGGGACCGCGCACTGGGTAGTGTGAAACAAGTTTTATGGCTAGCACTGAACAATATGCGACAGAATGCGGGTTTCAATCCGAATGTTTCGAGGCGGTCGAGAAGGAGGAGACTCCGAGTCGAGACCGGAGAGGTCGCAGAGCAAAGAGCCCAGGGGCCAGAATTTAAAGAGAAAGCAAGAAAAAGTTATACGGACTTCAAAGCTCTACGCCTCCGGTGGGAATCGAACCCACAGCTCCTCTGTACAACCCATTTGGAAAGGCCAAATTGAAAAGAGGCGATGAACCGTTCATCCGCAGAGGCTTGGTGGCTCTTCTGCAAGGGGTGCGGCGAGGAAAATAATCGACGAGGCGTTGGTGATCGGATTGGTTCGATAATACTTAGTTCCTCAGCAACAAAAGTTGTGCAAGACGGAGGAACGACGTGCAAAGTTGAAGCCGATACTGTTGAACAGAAGTTGAACAGAGGAGGACCGGCCCAGACGGGGCAGGCAGCAATATTGATGAATGGATATATCGCGAGTTTCAACCTGAATATTTCGGGTTGGTTTTGGCGGCGATTCGAGTAGCAGGCTTGAGACCGGAGATGCCGACAAAATTTTGAAGATCGGAAGAGAATTTGGAAGAAAAAGGGAAAGCCAAGAGCGCAGACTATACACCTCCGGTGGGAGTCGAACCCACGTCTCCTCTCTACCGCCGTCGGAAAAATTCAGAGGTGATCTACTTCGTTGATCGACGGAGGCCTGCAGGGAGATCAAGGCCGGGGAGAGAAGAGCTTGCGACGCATTCCAGGGACGCAGAGGAATTCGGACGAGCAGATTGAAGTCATTGCCACAGTCGGACCAGGATCCGGATAGCTTACTTCGCGAGGGCGTGGATAATGGATATCTGTGGTTCGGGTGGAAAGAAGGTGAAGACTTTGGCAGACCCGAGGGACAACAAGAGAGCGTGAGTGAGAGAGAGAGAAAAGGGGATATACTCGAGCTTGCCTCCGACTCGCTCCGAGGGGATTCGAACCACATCTCCCGACGTCAAGCGTAGGGTCCAGCTCGAGGGCAATCTACCGTTGATATACAGAGGCTTGTTCCCATTGCTAGCCACTGCAAGAGGTTTCAAAAAGCAGACCGCTAGAGCAAGAAGGATGCGGAGGACCGGTCGCCGATGTCCGACGCGAACTGAACGTCGACGTTTGATTGCTGTCGAATAGGCGCATCGCGGTCGGATCTTGAGTGCACGCAGGATGGCGATAGGTATCGAACGTTGAGCTGACCAGGGATGAACGTGGTGGTGAAAAGCAACAAGTGGCGTCCTAAACAGGAAAGACCACAAACACGTGAAATCGGTTGTGCTCCTCTTTCTCTCTGACCACGATGACCCAACCACCTATACCCGCCACTGCGCCCGCCACCGCGCCCCCACGCCTGCGCCGACGACGCATGTCCGCGCCGGCCCCTCGCGCCGCGCCGCCCCGGCTGCCGCCCTGCCGGCCCCTGCCTCTGTCCCTCGAGGCGCTGGACCTCTCCCCGGCGTCCCCCGCCCAAGCCCTGGCCTCGCTGCGCTTCCTGGTGCTCTCCTACCTCGCCGCCCTCGAGCGCCGCCTCTCCACCTTCGAGTCCGCGGAATGGGCCGCCACCGCCCTCGACATGCTGCACTCCATCCGCGCCGACGTCCGCTCCCATCTCCCCGATCTGCCGTCCTTGGACCTCGACTTTGATTTCGACTTTGACTTTGACTTTGACTTGGATGCGAGGATTGAAGGCGTCAAAGCCCGCCTGCCGGATCTCCCAGACGTCAAAGCCCTCGTCGCGCGGATCGACTTTTCCCGGCCGCTCTCCTACGTGCCCACCCTCTCTGCGCGTTTGCGAGGGCTGCACGCGCAACTCGCGGACGAGTTTCCGTCGCTCGAGTTCCCGTCACTCGAATTCTCCCGCCCCAGCTTCGACTTTGAGTTCCGACGCCCGAGCTTTGACTTTGAGTTCCGTGCCCCGAGCGAGCTGCTCGACACCTTCCTCGCGGATGTGGACGCTTTTCTGGCGGAGCTGCCGTCGTTGCCGTCTCTTCCGTCGGCTTTGTCCGCCTCTTTGCCCTCCCTCCCAGCATCGCTCTCCCGCGCCTCGTCCTGTGCATCTCTCCCTGCGCTCGACAAGGAGCCGACCGTCGAGGAGGCGCTGATCAAGTCCGATTATGGCCGACGACTAATCAGCTACACTGATCTCCCGTTGGAGTGGCGCAACAACGTCTGGGTCGTCAGCGGATATCGGTGCGTTTCCTTCTTCCACTCACCTTCAATCCAACTGACGCCCCACCACAGATTCATCCCCCTCTCCCACTGGCCGCGCCTCCCGCTCTCGCTCGTGCGGCTGCACAACGAGAGCCTCAACATCCACACGCACCTCATCCCGCTTGTCCTCTGGGGCGCTGCGTTCTGGGGTGTGCGCGTCGACTTGTCGTCGTGGCTCCCTTCCTCCTTGGCGGGGTTAGCCGGGCCCTGGACAGCCGACCTGACGCGATACACACCATTCTCCCCCTCCCCCGCTTCCACCCTCGCTGTATACACAGAAAGCGACGCCGCGGAATCGCTCTTCGTGCTCTTCGCGCTCGCGTGCCTCGCGAGCAGCGCGCTGTGGCACACGATGGCGGGGTGTGCGCACCGGGGTGGGATGGAGACGTGTGCGAGGGTGGATTATGTGGGGATTGGGTGGTGCGTTTATTCTTATGTCTTCTTTCTGCGTCCCTTTCTCTCCCTTCTGCGTCCCTCCCCTTTCCATTTCCCTTCTCATCCTCGCCGTTCTTCCGCTCCTCTTCCTCTGCGTCCCCTTTCCCTTCACCCCCTCCCTTTCAAGTACCGCTCGCTAACCCTTCTTCTCCACAGGCTCATCGCCACCTCCATCGCCACGGTCGTACACCACGGGTACGCGTGCGCGGAGCGCGCCGTTGACGCGACGCCGTTGGGGCACCGCGTGCTGCATCCGAGTAGTCTCTTGGATGGGGAGCTGGGCGCGGAGATGCGGGAGCTGGGGGCGGAGATGCGGGAGCTGGGGGCGGAGATGATGGAGGTGCTGTCCGAGCGGGCGGGGCAGGCGGTCGAGGTGCTCATGCATCCCGGGGCGTTGCTCCACCCTACTGCGGCTGCGGCGGTGGAGGTCGAGACGGCGCGCGGGTGGTCCGTCTTGGATTACGCTACGCCTCTTCTAGCGGCCATGAATGCGGTGGCGGCGCCGTTCGCGTGGATGATGGACCTGACGTCGACGCTGGCGGCGTGGCCGGCGTACCACCCCGTCGGCGCGGCGTGTCTGTTGTTGTGTGCGGCGGCGGGCGTGTCGGGGAATGTGCTGCCGTTTTGTGCGTGGTTTAATCGGGTGGAGAATCGGGTGAGTGTTTTTCTTCGTTTCGCTGCACAGGCAGCTTCGTTGTCTGCTTGTGCTCGGGAGGGTGGGGATGGGAGAGACTGTTTGCTCTCTTTCGTTTCGTTCCCCTTGCGCTTCCTTCCCCTCCCTCGTTTCACCCGCGTCTCGCCCAGTCGTTCGCTCGCTGACGCTCTATTCCTCGCAGCTCTGGCGCCTCGCCTTCTTCGTGGGCATCTCCTTCTCTGCGCTCGCGCCCCTCGCGGGCATCGCGGCGCTGCAGGGGTGGGACGCGATGATTCGGTTTGTCGGTGCGTCTGCCTTTTATTCGTTCTCGTCCCCTTTCTTTCGCTATCCCATCCGATACCTTGCACACTATACTTTTCTCTCACTCAATCTCGTCGCATGCTACACCTACACTTTCCTCCTGGCTTTGTGCTCTCTCTTTCTGTATCCTGTCTTATCATGCGCTGGACGGTCGATCGTCTCTCCCCTTCACATCCCTCTCCCTCTCCCCCTTTCCGCTCCCCGCCCCCCTTCATTCTCCCCCTCCCCATCCCCTTTCCCCTTCATCTCCATCTCTCAACAAAACCAATACTAACCCCTTCTTCTTTCTTCTATCCACCAGCCCCCATCGGCCCCTCGCTGCTGTACTACATCGCGGGGCTGGTCATCTACGCGACGCAGATCCCCGAGTGCTTTATTGGTGCGCGCGGGGGGTGGGTGGGGCGGGTTGTTGATGCGTGTGGGGGAGGTGCGTTTTTTTTCTTTGTTTGGTCGAAGGCCTCGTTTGGGCGGGGATGGGGGCTCGGCAGGATTCCCCTGCTTTCTACTCGTGAGGAGTCCTGCGGGGAGTGGTCTCCCGCTCCTACCAGAGGAGCAGGACCGCCACAACCCCACAATAGAGCGGAGAGAAGATAATAAAGCGCTGACGAATCCCACAGGCTCACACGCGATCTGGCACGTCTTCATCGTGCTCGCGATGCGTGCTCACCGCGACGGGCTGCGCGAGATGCGGAGGGCGGCGATGGAGGGCGGGTGTGCGGCGGGGGTGTCGGGGTGATGCTTCGTTTTTGGAGACCAGTGCTATCCTAATTGTACATGAGTGGGGATGCAGGAGTGCGGGGAGAGCGTTGTGGAGGGAAGGTGCTTACTCAGTTCGCTCGTTTACTCGTCGTTCGTTCACTCGTTCGTTTCTTGGTACGCGGCGCGCGATAGGCGTGGATGGGCGTAGAGACTTCTAGATTAGATTATGTGCTAATTAGAGTTTAGAGTGAGTGTAGACTGAGTGGACGGTGAGAGAATGGGGGAGGAGGAGTGGATTCTTGTACGTCGTAGTGTAATGGATATCGAGTTGAATGTTGCAGGTGTTTTCGAGATTGCTGAGGGAACTTGGGCAGCGCGTTTTTTTTTTAGGTCAAGATTCAGAATGAACGAGCAGAAACGGAAAATGTCACTTTGAATAGCTTTCAATCGCACGAGTCTCGCACTGTGTACCACAAAAAGCTCTGACCGCGCCCCCACGATGGAGAATCAACAATCCGCACGCCGCACGGTACATGAGGGTGTAGGTAAATTCGAGCATGGTTACAATCAGTCTCTGCGTCACGGTGTGTGTTGAATCTGCGTTCAAGCCCACTTGAACCGCTTCATGCAAGCGCAGTAGTGAGCCACAGTGCGTCTGAGTTCTGACACGGAGTAGACAACTGAAGTCGGAAAAAATGTAGTTCGAGTTCTCGTTGGACTGTAACGCACAAAGTCCCGAAAGCACCTACTCGCGTTTCTTTCTTTCCGCTCTGGTTTGTACCGCGTAATTGTCAACTCAGAGCGAGATTTAGAAATTCGTGGGCGAGCTGCGTCATGATCGATGATCGATGGTTAACTTCAAACGACGAAGTTGCGGGCAGTGTGCAAATATGGGGTGGACAGTGCCATCCAACGACTCGTTTACATAATCCCT